TACATAATATAAAATCCATAGGTAAAAAAAATTCTCCAAGGACAAATAAGCATTTCTTTGCATTTTTTTCACATTTCTTCACAACTTGTTTATGTTTTTCCTCAATTTACCTTCTGGGCAGTAAGTAGCTAAGTTCCATTATCCTACAACATCATAAAGAGGCAAAAGTCTTTCACTCTCTTGGGTCATGTTTAAGGACTGAAAAGAACTTCCCAGAAGGCCCAGCAGCCTGCATAAAATGCCAGAATTACAGCACAAGCCCATTCTTAAAATAATATCTGGCAAGAGAAATGGAGCCACAGGAATTAGCTTATGTTATTAATCAAACACTATGTCTTCTTTGTGAAGGAGTGTATGTCTGAAGAAAAAAATGTACCATAGTCTTTTTATGTACTCATTTACTAGTAGGCAAAAAAAAAAAAAAAAAAAAAAAACCATGGTACATTTCTACAATGGAATAGTATGCAGCAGAAAAAAAGATAGAGCTCCTACCCTTCGTGACACCATGGATGGAACTGGAGAGCATTACACTGAGTGAAATAAGCCAGGCAGTGAAGGACATACACGATCTCACCTCTAAGTGGAACCTAATCAACAAAACAAGCAACCAAGCAAAATATAACCAAAGACATTGAAATAAAGAACAAACTAGCCCTGGCTGGTGTAGCTCAGTGGATTGAGCGTGGGCTAGGAACCAAAGTGTCCCAGGTTTGATTCCCAGTCAGGGTACATGCCTGGGTTGCAGGCCATAACCCCCAGCAGCTGCACATCGATGTTTCTCTCTCTCTCTCTCTCTATCTCCCTCTCTTCTCTCTCTAAAAAATAAATAAATAAAATCATAGAAAAAAAACATTCTTTAAAAAAAAAGAGAATACAAATATGTTTAAAAAAAAAAAGAACAAACTGACAGTAACCAGAGGGGATGAGGAAGAGAGATAATGACAGAAAATAGGGGAAGGTCCATCAAGGAACATGTACAAAGGGCACATAGACAAAGCCAAAGGGGATAGGTTCATGGGTAAGAGGTGGGGATGGTTGGGGCAGAGGGCCAGGGTGGGGTAAAAATGGAGACAACTGTACTTGAACAACAATAAAAAATAAAATAACATAAAAAGTAAATTTTAAAAAAGGAAAAAACATTTGGAAGGACAAACTGTGTCCATAGCTAAGGATAGGCTATGATAGTGTCTACTCAATGGCTGGAAATAAAGACAGCATAGAAGAAAACAAAGGCAAAGTTATGGAGGGATGCCCACATACAAACAAGGTCTGTCCATAAGGTATCTAGCCATGTAATGTGAAAAAATAGAGATATTTATTGAAGAAGATAGAAGATACAAGAAACATTGTACATAAGATCCCCTTCAAAGGTAACTTTAGTTGGGAAAAGCCAGAAGTCGCAGGGCACCAAATCTGGGTAATAGGGGGCTGAGTCACCTGGGTGATTTGATGTTTCACCAAAAAACTCCATAGGATGTGATGCATGAGTGGGCGTGTTGTCATGATGAAGCTGCCAAACACCAGTTGCCCATAGCTGCAGTCTTAAGGAAAAAATTATCTGAGTCTGGTTGTATGATCTCATCTCCCTCTTGTTCTCATACATAAGGTCTGTCCAGAAGGTATCAGCCATGTAATATGAAAAATAGAGATATTTATTGAAGATACAAGATACAAAAAACATTGTACATAGAACAATGATGCATCAGTCCCTACCAAAGTAGGTACCTTGGGCCTCACACAGTTCTCCTAATCACCATCAACTGCCCCACTGTATTTTTCTGAATATCATCAATGGTCTGAAATCTCATCCCTTTCAAAGGTGATTTTAGTTTTGGAAAAAGCCAGATGTCACAGGGTGCCAAGTCTGGGCTGAAGGGAGGTTGAGTCACCTGAGTGATTTGATGTTTCACCAAAAACCCTGCACAAGATATGATGCATGAGCAGGTGCATTGTCATAATGAAGCTGCCAATCACGAGTTGCCCATAGCTGTGGCTTTCTGAATCATCTGAATAGTTTCCGTGGAGGAATGTTCATGCTTAATGCAAAATTTGATGCAGATCCATTGCTCTCCTCGCTCAGCCATTTTAAATGAGATGGCCACACAGTACACATGCTCAATCAACAGGCATCACCACCTCCACACCAACTAGTACGGTGAAGACATTCATTGTTCATGTACACGCATTTAGTCCACTCTCCTTGGCTGCCAGTTTACATCAATGTCATGCAAACCATTTTCATTATATTAACAATGGCTGGACTTTTTCTGTACAGACCTCATATTTTAGGTAATTCCTTTCATGTTTAAGCCCCACAGAACCAGGTTCTGCCATCTCCAACCAATAGTTCCCTGGCTAATATGCTAACTCAAAGCATTCCTCTGAACCTAACAGGTTTTATATTTATCCACATGAACTAAAATAATCTTTCATGGTTTCCCATCTCTGGTCTTATCTATCTTTATATCTACCCTTAAAATCTTAACCATCTTCATAACTATATTTCAAACATCATCTTTTCATGAAGAATTTCCAAAAAAATCTAATTTTGGTAATGGTTTCTTCTTTACTTAAACTGAAGAGCAACTATCTAACCAGCATTTAAAATATACACATGTAATCTACTAAGATTTGATATAAAACAGATTTGGAGATAATTATTTTAATTATTCTTATAATACAGAATAAAGAAGCAAAGAGAGGTTATATGTCTTATACAATGTCTAAATTAGAACCTGGGATTTAACATCAAGATTCACACTCTTTCCCTCCCTGAGTCTCAGGTGTGCCTCACTGCACCACCCACTATCATGTGGTCTCTTGACATGTCCATTTTAGCTCACTCAACTTTCCTTTTCTATGGTGCAAGTATTATGCTTTATACATAGTAAGTATTAAATAAATATTTGGTTAATTGAACAGCTTGGTTTTATATATAAATAAAAATCATCAATGATTACTGATCAGTTAACAGTAAATATTTCTTTATATAAATACAGATAGGTCAGTATTATCTAACTTTTAAAAAATCTGGCCCTGGCCAGGTGGTTCAGTCTGTTGGAGCATTATCCCATACACAAAAAGGTTGTGGGTTTGATTCCCAGTCAGAGCACTTACCTAGGTATAGGTATAGGGTTCAACCTCCACTCAGGGTTCATATGAGAGACAACTAAGGGATGTTTCTCTCACATATTAAAGTCCCTACCCCTGCTCTCTCTTTTTCTCTTCCTCTCTTTCTAAAAATATTAATAAAAATATGCTCAAATAAGGATTTAAAAATGTATTCTGAATATCAAAAGCAAATCCCCAATAATCATTGACAACGAATTGTACTAAGTTATTCTATGTAGTCTCTGGAAAGCAAGATAATTGGCAAAGAAAAGTTTTCAATATATAGTTTCAATGAAGTAAGTACTACATCCAAGGAAAAGTTAGCAGGAAATAAATATAATTTCCTCTAACCCACAGTTAAATGCTGGTTAAGAAGATAGCACCCTCATTCTATGAAATTAGACTCAGAAAGCTAGGCTTTAAACCTCATTTCATCTTTGTCAAGTAAAATTAGTATTAGTGACTTTTTATAAAATAGAGATTCTGCACATCAGAAAAAAGAAAAGAAATACTTCTCTTTAAATAGTCTATTTGGGAACTAATAAAGAAAAAAGGGACGTTTTCTCCAATTTTTTAAAGACTTAAATTTAAGACTTCCATCATTAACATACCCCAGTTCATTGATTTACTGATGAACAGTATCCACACTATGCAATAATGTCAGTATTCACTTTCTTTAAGTAAAAATGTTTAAAGTCACACTTTAAAATGTCTTTAAAATGTGTAATTAAAATGTTTCATATTTTTTCATATTTTCTGCAAAATCTAAAACCATAAATAAGTCAAATATAACTTTTCAAAATGTGTGAGAAGAACTTACACACTCTTTACAGATAATTTTAGTGGTTGATAAATGAGCAATGTGAAGGCAAAAGCAATAGAGAATAAGATATTATCCCTTCATTGCCTGTTATTCCAGGAATATGTGCTAATATCAAGATATATGTCTATCCATTGTCTTAAAGGAACATTCTGTCTTTCTTCAGTTCATCTTTAACTTCTAGTTATTCTCTCAAAGTAGAGTTATACTTTTTGTGATAACAATCTTTTTTTATTTATTCTACAAGTTGTAGAACATCTGAATATAATAGCTATTAGTCATGGTAAATTAAGCAAAACTCAGTCATGAGTTTATGAGGGTGTCTTATTATGTGTGGAACTTCAAACAGAAAATCTGAAGATTAAATCACTCATAGAAAATGCTATAGAACATTAGACATATAATTAAATGAGTGTTTATAGAGATTAGAAAGATAGATAGATGATAGACAGGTAGACAGATAGGACAGTTAAAGCCTTATTACCTATCTTCCTCAATAATATTATATAATCTTTTTCTGCACCAAGAAATATTTTCTAATATTCATCTATTATCTTGTCTGTTTCAAAAATTCAGAAGAAAACACCATTTACTGAGCAATTTAAATTTATTCTTACAATCTGAAGCTTTTTTATTTGATATTTTATTTTGAAAACATATAAAGTTTATATTCCTTTTCATTATTATATGGAAAATACAACAGTTGAGTGAGTTATTTAAATTCTAAAATGCACACATTTAGTTAAATGATATTTACATATATTAATTTGGGTAATTTTATACATGATTATCTATTTGAGTAATATTTCATTAACTATTCTATTGTGCAGAAATGGCCATAGCATTTCAGGGTGCAGTTTAAATAATGTTCATTCTTCTTTCCTGATACTTAAATTATCCTTTGGCAAATCTAACCAACAAAAGAATGAAAGCATTTTATTTTTCCCAATAAATTGAATTTAAAAGATCTTAGGAAAATGATTTTACTATGTACTAAGACATTTTTTGGTAATCAGAAGCTTTTATTTATTTAAATCACATCGACCTTCTCAGGTCTAGAAATACTTACTCTTCTTTGCATTAGCAGAGGAGAGTCTGTTCCTTCCTCTTTAAAACTTGATTCCATACTGCTTATATCCTCAATAGCATCTTCCATCTAGCAAAATACAGTACATTTAGAATAATGTGTATAATATGTGTATAATGATAAAAGTTGTGCTTCATCCTGAATTTAAAGACAAAAATTTTAGTAACTATTAATTTTTTAAAATATTCAAAGTTATATGTATATAAAAGCCTAGAATATTTTAGAACTTAAAATGATGTAATCTTGAAACAATTTGATTTGTGTTGCTTTTTCTTGCATTTATTTCTACCTACTGGCAGATAATAGTTGGGCAAATGATCCTGGGCTAGTCCCTTGGAAATCACTATCACCATAAACACAGTGTTTTTCATGAAGTAACTCAAGCCATGGCCCATATCTTTAAATTGTAGGAAGAAAACTTTTCTTTTAAAATATTTCAATCAAAATCTAAGTACTAACCAGGCCTGACTCTGCTTAACTTCTGATATCAGATCAGATAAGCTGCATTCAAGGTAGTAGGGCCATATTTGAAAAATAAGAGCTAGTTCTTTGAAAAGATAATCAAGATTCATAAACTTTTAACCAGACTCTTCAAGAAAAAAAGAGCTTATTTTGTTCATTAGATTCCACATATATGTGAAATCCACACCATATGGTTATATGGTATTTGTTTTTTTCTGACTGGCTTATTTAACTTAGCATAATAGTGTCCAGGTCCATCCATGCTGTTGCAAAAGGCAAGATTTTCTTCTTTTTTATGGCTGAGTAGTATCCTATTGGGTAAATATACCAGTAATCATTTTTATCCACACGTCTACTGATGGCCAATTGGTAAAGGGATTGAACACAAAAAAAACAACACTCATAGACAAACACCAGTATGGTCATAATCAGAAGAAAAAAAGGAAATGGTACGATCAGGAGAGTATAAATGAGGGATAAATAGTGATGGAAAGAGACACTACTTGGGGTGGTGAACACACGATACAATATACAGATGATGTATTACAGAATTGTACACTTTAAACTTACATAATTTTTATACAATGTAATCACAATAAATTCACTAAAAATTAATTTAAAAAAGAAAAAAGAGGACCCAAATAAATAAAATGATAAATGAAAGAGAAATAACAAATGACACTAACAAAATGCAAAGATTGTAAGAAAATATTATAAACAACAGCATTCCAACAAAATGGGCAACCTGGGGGAAAAAATGAATAAATTCCTAGCAACACACAATCTTCCAAAACTGAAGGAGGAAAAATCAGAGAATCTGAATAGACAGACTGAAACTAGTGAAGTTGAAGTAGTAATCAAAAAACTCCTAAGAAACCAAAGTTCTGGACTGAATGAATATACATGTAAATTTTACCAAACATTCAAAGACAAACTAACACTTATTCTCAGACAATTCCAAAAAATTCAAGATCAGGTAAGACTCCTAAGCTCATTTTACAAAGCCAGCATTATCTGAATCCCAATAGCAGATAAAGACACTACAAAGAAAAAAATATATAGGCCAATATCCCTGATGAACATAGATGCTAAAATCTTCAACAAATATTAGCAACCTAAAAACAGCAATAAATTTAAAAAAATCATACATTACAATCAAGTGGAATTTATTCCAGGGTGCAAAGTTGGTATAATATCCACAAAACAATAAATGGTGTTACACCACATAAACAAAATGGTGTATAAAAGCACATGATCATATTAACAGATGAAGATAAAACATTTGATAAAATCCAGCATCCATTTATGATTATAAAAAAAAACACTCTCAGCAAAGTGGGAACAGAGGAAACACACTGCAATGTAATAAAGGTCATATATGACAAACCCACAGCCAATATCATACTCAATGGGCAAAAACTGCAAATGTTCCTCTTAAGAGTGGGAACAAGACAGGGTTGTCTGATTTTGCCTTCTTATTCAACATAATAGTTGAAGCCATAGCCACAGCAATTGGACAAGAAGAAGAAATAAAAGCCATTCAAATTGGAAAGGAAGAAGTAAAATTGTCACTATTTGCAGGTGACATGATACTGTATATAGTGAACCCTAAAGACTCTACCAAAAGCTTACTAGAACTGAATTGATTAAAGTAGCAGGATACAAAGTAAATATCCAGAAATCAGTTGCATTTTTAAACACCAATGATGAACTATCTGCAAGGGAAACTAAGAAAACTATCCCATTCATAATTTCTTCAAATGTAATAAATACCTAGAAATAAATTTAACCAAAGTTGTAAAATACCTGCACTCAATATTATAAGACACTGAAGAGACAAACTGAAGAAGATACAAGTGAGTAGAAGCACATACTGTGTTCAGGATAGAAAGAAATGACATCATTAAAATGTCCATACTGCCCAAAGCAATCTATAGATTCAGTGCAAGTATCAATCAAGATACTAATGGTGCATTTTGCAAAACAACTACAAATATTCCAAAAATGTATATGGAACACATAAAAGAGCTTGAATAGCCATACCAATCTTAAGAAAGAAGAAAAGAATTGGAGAAATCATGCTACCTGATGTGAAACTAAACTGTAAGAACATAATAACCAATAGAACATGATATTGGCATAAAAATAGACATATGGATCAATGGAACATATTAGAGAGCCCATAAATAAACCCACAACTTTATGGTCAATTAATATGTGACAAAGGAGACAATAACAAACAATGGAGAAAAGACAGTCTATTCAATAAATCATGTTTGGAAAATTGGACAGAAACATGCAAAAAGTGAAACTAGACCACCTTCTAACACCATATAGAAAAAAAAACTCAAAATGAATTAAAGACTTACATCTTAGACTTGAAACAATAAAACTCCTAAAAGAAAACATAGGCAGTAAAATCTAGGATATATCTTATAGCAATAATTTTTTTTCTGATGTACATCCTCAAACAAGAAAAACTAAAGAAAAACTAAACAAATGGGACCACTTCAACTAAAAGCTTTTGCACAGCAAAGGAAACTATCAACAAAATGAAAAGACAGACTACTACATTTGAGAACATATTTGCCAATACATCTGATAAGGGGTTAATATCCAAAACTAACTTAAAAACTTACAAAACTCAACACCAAAATAATAATTCAATTAAAATATAAGACAAAGGGCCTTAACAGACACTTCCCAGAGAGGACACACAGGTAGCCAATAGACATATAAACACATGTTAAATGTCACTAATCATCAGGGAAATGCAAATTACAACCACAATAAGGTATCACCTTACACCTGTCAGAATGACTACCATCAATAAATCAACAAAAAACGGTAAGTGTTGATGAAGATGTAGAGAAAAGCAAACTCTCATGCACTGTTGGTAGGAATGCAAATTGCTGCAGCCACTGTAGAAATCAGTATGGAGTTACCTCAAAAATTAAAATGGAACTGCTTTATGTCCCAGTGATTCCACTTCTGGGAATTTATCTGAAGAAACTTGAAACTAATTCAAAAGGATATATGCAATTCTATATTTATTGCAGTGTTATTTACAATAACCAAGATTTGGAAGCAGCCTAAGTGCCTATCAGTAGATGAATGGATAAAAAATGTGATACATTTACACAGTGGAATTCTGCTCAGCCATCAAAAAGAAGGAATTCTTACCCTTTGCAACAGCATGGAGGTATCTGGAGAGTATTATGGTAAGTGAAATAAGTCAGTCAGATAAAGACAAATACCATATGATCTCACTCATGTGTGGAATCTAATGAACAAAATGAACTAATGAGCAAAACAGAGAAAAACTCATAGATGGAGAGTACGCTAAAAACTGTTGGGGAGGTGGGTGGCTGGGTTGGGAGAGTGGAGGGATTGAACAAAGAAGAAACAAGGAGACAAATACTCATGGACATGGATAACAGTATGGCACAGCTAGGGGAGAGGTTAGGAAGAGGGGGTAAGGGTAATAAATGGTAACAGAAAGAGGTTTGATTTAGAGTGGTGAACACAGAATACAGTGCACAGATGATGTGTTGTGGAATTGTGCACCTGAAACCTGTATAATTTTTCTAGCCAGTGTCATTCCAATGAAATCATTAGAAAGGAAAAAATGTTTTGATTGCATCTTACAGGTATACAAATGGAAGTGGTCAAATACAAGTACAACTAACTGGAAACACATTCAACTTTCCAAAATGACAAATAATAATGGAAAAAATAACAACAAAAATAATCATAGATACCTTAAACTGTAACAGTAACAAACATTTACGTAGTGTTGGAGATGTGCTGGTCACTGTTCTATATACTTTGCATACATCAGTTTATTTACTCTTCATATTAGCCCTATGAAGTGGATACTATCATCATCTCCATTGTAAAAATGAGAAACTGGGAGAAAAGGAAGTTTAATAATATGTTTCAAAATATGTAGCTAGTGAATGACAGAGGTAGGGCTGAAATCCTGGAAATTTGGATCTATAGTCCTAATTTATTTATTTATTTTCTGCAAAGTTCTTTTTTTTATTGCTTTTTCTTATGTTCTTCTAGAAAGCAATACAAAAACAGATGTATCTGGTTTTGTGATTAGTTATTTCTTAAAGTCTCAAAGTTTATACTTTACTGTCTTGTGATAGGTAGTCTGTGATTTTAGTCATGGTTCCTATAACATACACCTTAAGTATAGGGACCCAAGTTGTGAAGAGATCAAAATATTTGTCAAATTATTCTCAGCTCTTCATGAAGTTAACCCAGTAAGAAAATAAAGACTGTATTCTTTTTTTTTAAAGATTTTATTAATTTATTTTTAGAGAGGGAAGGGGGGGAGATAGAGACAGAGAGAGAGAGAGAGAAACATCAATGTACGGTTGCTGGGGGTTATGGCCTGCAACCCAGGCATGTACCCTGGCTGGGAATCGAACCTGCAACACTTTGGTTCACAGCCCATGCTCAATCCACTGAGCTACACCAGCCGGGGTAAGATTTTATTCTTTAAAATCACGTCTAGTACTCCTACAAGCCAATCAGAGCAACAGACCAGGAATCACTTTTTAAAAAGGCATTGCAGTTTAAAATACAGCCGATGACAA